AAAAAAAAAAAAAAAAAAAAAAAAAAAAAAAAAAAAAAAAAAAAAACATTCAGTTCCTAGAAATGTAAATATTTTTTGTGTCTTATTAGCTACAAGTTGACATATTTCTTTAAGATTTTCCTAAACTCTTAGGTACACAGCTTCACAATTTATTTTTCTTGTTTTTGAATAGTATAGCCTAGAAAGTACTCTGAGTTTAATAGAGTAGAGTCGTGCGCTTTTACGCATCAATTACGCAGTGGTTTGCGCGCAGCAGGGGTTCATTTCTCCCCGTTAAAAACAGCAATTGCTTCAAATAATGAAATAACCTAACACGACGGAACCGCTGTAAATTTTCCTCCAAGGTACTTCTGAGAAAAATGAGAAGAGGCTTCCTCCTGGTGACTTTGTTCCTCATCATGAAACTTCGGCACAGCCATTCCAGATGCGAGGAAACCGGACCGCGCAGATCATCCTCAGATGTAGGTACCTTGTGGTACGCAGCAGAGCGGCTTTTTAGCAGGAAAATGTGTAAATAAGCAGATTCATGTTTTTATTCACTTGATTGCAGCAGACCATAAGCTTGGAAGACCTCAAGCGTAATCTTCTGAAGAGGTATACTGACTTGGATTATGACAGCTTTGTGGGACTGATGGGCAAAAGAAACGCCGGTGAGTTCAGACCCGTGAGCGTGCCCAGTTGATCTGACGCACGTGCTTTTGGAATAAAACAGTAATGCTAAACTAAAGAGGAAAATGTACTTACTATTTTCTTCTCTTTTCTTGTCTTACAGATGTAGAAGAAGTGCAGTCACCGCAAAAAAGTAAGACCATCCTGACCTGTATTTTTTTTTAAGATTGCCATAAAACAGTTATCTGGATGTGTTTTCTTCCTATTAGGGGAAATGGATGATATATTTGTTGGGCTTATGGGAAGACGAAGCTCAGAGTCTGGTGAGTTGAGACAATCAGAAATCTGGGCCGTTTCACTCAGATTAATCTCTGGTTTAGACGGCATGAGACTTCATTCCTAAACTTATATCTGCACCCACAGATAATGGACCCTGGAGGAGAGAGTATCCAGAGAGGAGAGGCATTTTTCTGAACAGGTCCAGGCTGAGGTAAGTCTTTAAAAATACTCTTCCTGTCTGATAAAGAACATAATTCTATCACAACTGACTGACGCTTTGAATATGTTCCCTGTTTATATGAGTTTTCAGTTTGCATTTTATGATCATTTTAGATCAATTACTTGTGTGTTGGAACGAAGTGTGTGTATACACCTGATGTCTTTTTGCAGGTTACTTCATGGGCTGTAAAGACTCAGACTGAACTTTTACATTTATACATAACCAGATAATCAAAGAGCACAAACTGCCTGTTGGAGGACGATCTTCTCCGCCTGCCTGCTGAAAGTCACCATCAACCAAACAGATTGTAATTATTTCATCTGAAAACACAAAGGTTAATTATTTCATGTGATCATTTATGTTTCTTTCTTAAAATCCATTCCTTTGGTTCAAAGTTCAAAATAAACATAATTTTTTTATATGTAATATGTTTTATTTAAATGATGGTGCTTCTTTCTGTTGCTGTGAGTGATGTGTGCATAGTGAACAATAACACTAGAAAATGGCTTGACAAGGACTCACTGGGATTTTCCATCATCATTCTCAAACACAAATACAGATTGCTTTCAAGTATAATTCAGATCATTTTATGTTAGTCACTGTTTGAAATTGATTTATTTTACAGCACAATTGTTGGCTTTATTACTGGAACACCCGGTAATCCTCCAGATTGAAAGTTTGCATTAATTCTTGAGCTGAAATTTTCTCTTTGAAACAAGACACATACTTAAAAACTATCAGAATCATTAAAAAAATTAACAAGCAACGTTTCAAAGAGTTGAAAGAAATGCAGGATGGTGTTTGTCAAATCAGCTGTCATAAAAGACTGTTGGAATATTTCACCGTTTTAGATGCATAATGATAAAAAAGATGAACTGTGTCAAGAAGCTTCCCACATTTATTAAGCTAACAAAGAGATGTGAGTTAAGAGCAAGTAAAAATCAAGCATTTATACTGGGTAAAAAAACAAATATCCAGACTGTAAGCAGTTGCTACAGAGCCAAATTCAAATAGCAGCTGCTCCCACAAGGAGCGCCGTCTGTGGAGCACTGTGTGAAATACTGCCATGTTGGATCAAGCAGGTTTTATCAGAAGACTGCACAGTCATTGAGCAACTTAAGGTAGCCTTTCTGCAACAGTCACTGCTCTGCAGAACTCCGTTTAATGGCTCAGTGTGCAGAGAGGAGCCACAAGTGTTCCTGATTATCCTAAAAGCTGATAATGAAACCGTGCAGTGCATCAGCCATGTTCTTGTGCGCTCGCAGTTCTGATCTCAGACAAATTAAAGTTCAGATCCTCTTTCTTGCCTGTCTCTGAGTGTGTCTCTTCTCTGGTTTGGCTTTCACTAAAGTTAAAAGTTGCAGCAGCAGGTGTGCGATTCCCTCCTCCTGTTGTCTCCTGAACTGCTTTAGTTCCTGCAGTCATGGCTGTCTGCGAGAGCTGAGGGATGTTCAGACTCTGACGTACGGAGGGCTGATAGCGCGGCACGTAGCCATACGCTCTCAGGTAGTAGGTGTAATACTCCAGTGTGTACATCAGCTCTGCTTCAACGTAATGGAACGACACTGCCAGGTCAGAGCAGCACTGTGGACCCTAAAGAGGGGAAAAACATATGAATCACATATTTTAAATGCACAGAAAGTAGTAAAGACTTCAAAAATTTTATATATAATAATAAACATCAATAATTCTAACAAATTACAACCTCATTCCTGAAATACTGAAAAAAGATCTCTGAATGTGATGCTGACTCAATATTTCCAAGATTGTTAAAAAAAAAAGCCTGCCTCTCTGATGATGTAGGGGTGCATTAGTCATCTGGAAAAGCCTCATTGATGCAGAAAAGCACAGGTTTTAGTACATGCTTCTATTCATATTTCTGTTTGAGGAAAGGCCTTACATAATTCATCGTGACAACGTTCCAACACAAACTGCCTTCACTATCACAGCATGGCTTTGTAGAAGTGTTCAGGTGCTGAACTGGCCTGCCTGGAGTCCAGACCTCTCACCAACTAAAAATACTTGGTACATCATGAAATGTAAAAGAAGACCCAGGACATCAGAACAGCTGGAATTCTACATCAGACAAGAATGAGACAACATCCCCTTCTGAAAACTCCAGCAGCAGGGCTCCTCAGCCATAATTTGGATGCTGGATGTAACTGGGACCCTGTGTACACAATTTTGTTCCACCTCATGTACCACATGTGATGCGAATGACAATAAAGAACCTTGAACTTGATATTTACAGACTGTTGGTAAAGAGGTGATGCTTCACTGTGAGCAACGGGCAACGTTTTATTATGTTTTCACCATCATCAAACTCTGAATTAACATTATACAATAAAACATGTTACAATCATGCAGTTCAAACGTTTCATTGTTCCATTGTGAATAAAATGCAGGTTTAATAGATTAGCAGAAATACGCATTCTGTTTTTACTTACATTACACACAACATCCAACCATTTTTTCAGAATTGGAGTTGTACAAATGTAACGTGAGCATGAGCTCTAAAAACTCCATCGTCATGAGGACATTGTTCAGATTTTTCCAACCATTTAACAGTTTGTGCAAATCTAAAAGTAAAAGCTTGGTATTAAAAATATATAAAATATATAATTTATTGTTTTTTTTGTTGGTGTTTTCAACCTTGCTGTAAGGAGACTATAAAAATCTACAAAATGATCAAATCTGGCAGAACAGTCCATGCTGAGACTGCAGCTACACTGCTTTTATTGAAGAAGGTCACTAAATTTCAGCAACCGTCACTAAAGGAGCACATTTATTGTAACATACTATATGATGCATATTTAGATAGATTTGTAAACCTTCAAACTAATGTTGCCCTAGTGAAGCATCAAAGATAAACAAAGTTGACTGCAGTGGTTTTACTCATTTCTGTTCATCATCAGTGGGAACAACTCCACGGCTCAGAGGCTCCACCTACTGTAGATCAAGATTAGGTTTCAACAATTAAATCAATAAATGTGCAAAATGACAAAGTCAAAAGAACATTTATGGACGTAATTTTAAATGCAAATGAAACAATATAAAACTCCTAAACTTGACTTGATGAATACTGATAAAACTCTCACAGATCATAAGTAGTGACGTTTTTCTCGCTTGCGGTGTGAAACCAGAGCAGCGACACCCCACCCATCTCATTTTAAATACAACACACTTGGTGCATCAACAGCAGCAAATTGACCACTTTTCGTTTTTGTTGACGGGACGTTAGCTGTGCTGGAGTCCTCCACATTAATATGAAGTCAGGTACATGGTCTACGTGTGCCAGATCTGAATGCATTCATTTAATTATATTTTCCTGTTCATCAAAGGAGACATTTTGTGTGCCGCTTTTGAAAAGGTTCCTGAAGTCCTAATAAACGTCTGACATGGTTCAGTCTAAATACAACAAAATATAATTACAGAGCCCATTCTCATGTAGCCCGTCTCTTGAGCTTTCATCTTTGCCACTAATTTCAGGGAAGCGTAATGAGACGCTCGGCTCTGCCTCTCTCACCTCGTCCATGTACATTTTTGCTACAAATGGCACTCAGTAACTCTTGAAGAGTGCCTGTAGGTCCCAGCAGCCTGAGACAGCATCGACAGCAAGCGAAGCTCACAGGAGTGGTGTTTTATTCTCAAATATTTTAAGTTCCTTCTGCTAGAAGGGGTAGAGACAGGGCTGCTGACTCGGAACCCGAAAGTCCCAGTTTCGATCCCCAGTCATTGCACATATCGTGGCGTCTCTGAGCAGGACACCCTATCCCCAATTGCTCCCCAGGCGCTTTCAATAGCTGCCCACTGCTCCACCTGGGGGTGGATGGGTTAAAGGCAGAGAATCAATTTTGCCATTGTATGGAAACATACAATGATGACAACGAATAATACTTTATTGTTACCGTATTTTCCGGCATATAAGTTGTAGTTTTTGTGCATAGATTTGTCAGTCCTGCAACTTATATGCCTAAGTGGCTTATATCAATCAATCAACCTTTATTTATACAGGTAAATCCCATTGAGCCTCGAGGACTCATTTACAAGAGAGACCTGATTTCAACAAAGAAAGATGACAACAATGGACAACAGCAACAACAATAAGCAGTTATAAAAACTCATACTACAGTTTTTTTTTTTTTTTTTTAACAAATAGGATGGCTAAAAGGATATATGTTTTTTTCCCCATATTCATAACGCAAGTTTTGACTGACGCATTAAATTTTGAAGAACTGCAACAGCGAGTCCTCCCATGCGCGCTCGCTTCACTCAGCTGCTGCAAGCAGAGGAACGCTGGAGAGCTAACGGCTCCGACTGCGATAGACAGATGGTTGGATGGATGGCGCCTCACCACCCAGGCGAAATGAAACTGTTTTGACCATTCAAGTAAATTTATTAAGGAAAGTTAAACTGAGACACACCTTTATTATTATTTCGAGCAAACAAATAATTGTTTTTAAGTGTTAATCTTGAATTGTGAAGAACTGCAACAGCGAGTCCTCCCGTGTGCACTCGCTTCACTTAGCTGGTGCAGGCCGAGGAACGCTGGAGAGCGAGCAGCTCTGGCCACGATGGATGGATGATGGACGGCGCTGTGATGCCCAGGCAAAATGAAGCTGTTTTGACTATTAAATAAATGCATAATAAATGTGACGGGTCAGCGGTGAAGCATAATAAATGTGACTTATACGCTGAAGCGACTTATATATGTTTTTTTCCTCTTCGTGATGCTTTTTTGGACTGATGCGACTAATACACCGGAAAATACGGTATTACTGTATGGTTGGAGAGAATACTGTATTTTATGAAAAAACCATGCCGTTATAAATGCAATCTGCCAGAAAGCAATGATGAAATATTGTTTTGCCTGCCACACTGACTGAATGCTCAAGTTTTAAACAAAGTTTCTGCATAATCTGCTAGCGTGGAGAACATTTGTTACAGATGACTCTAAGCTACTACCACACCAAGTTTTAGCTCAATATCTGTAAAAATGATGACTTTACGACCATCTTTGGGTTTGCTGAGGTCAAATAGCCGTGGCATCTGTCCTGCATCATCAACCCTAAAAAAAACTATCAGTTGTTGATTTAAATCCAATAATTACTTTGAGTTTTCTTGAAATCCATTCAGTAAATCAGGAAATATTTAGCTCACAAACAAACATGCATGCAAAAACACAATTGCTTCATTTTTATAATGGCAGGTGATAAGTATGTTTCCTTTAAAGCAGTAACTGCTCGTCAATGCAGTAAAACAATTTATTAAACTTTTAATTTTTCTATTGGAAAATAAGGAACTACTGCACACATTTAAAATCAAATAACCTTAGAAAGTTATACGTGCACAAAAGACGACTGAACTTTGAGCTTGAGCTTCGCTTATCTGCATGTCTTCTTAACCTGAACTGCCCTTTGGTAATGAGGCTAATCCACTCACAGGAAATCTACCTAACTGGGATTACCTGTAACTGACTTTCATGCTAACTGGTTATAGCAACAAATACTGTTCCACTTCCTAATACTGGACTCTGCAACCAGTAAACAGATAAAATGTGTAAATGGACTTGCCTCAACAATTGGGTAGTAGCAATAGCTCCAGTACCAAAAGCTCTTGGAGAACTTGGTGGTTAGATGATGCTCAGGCACAAACGGGTGAAAGGTTTCTCGATGCAAAGTGTCTCTGGAATCCCCAGCCAGAACGCCCATCTTCTCTAAACACTGTCCCAATGCTAGGTCTTCAACGGGAGTGGTGTGCACGCAAACCTTGGTCCGAAAACCTTCAACAAATCTCTTCAGGGCCTCCTTGCTGAGCACATAGCCAGCACCTCCACTCATGTAGCCTTGTTTGGAGTAAGGCTTGAAGCGTTTACCAAAGTAGACGGGCTCCTCCGGCGTGTGGTTGGACAGAATCCAACGCAGGTTGTCCACCACCACAAAGGTGTCATCATCAGCTTTCAGGAACCAGTCTGCGTCATCCATGTGGTGTTCGTAGACGTAATGAAAGGCTCGGATGGTTTTCCAGTAGAGCTGGTTGCGGCCTTCTTTTGTGCCCAAACCCACCGTGGGAAAGCTGGGATCCTCCACGGAGCTCATGAACAGAACAACGTTGCAGTGGCGACTCCAGGTGGCTCGGACGTGGCGGGTTCTGCTCTGCAGGTTGTACGGTCCCGTCATCACCCAACAGAGAACACGGACCTTCTGGTACAGCACGTCTGCCACCAGGCCGTCCTCGTCTGCAGGAATACACAAACAATGTTTAACCTGCACCGTAAGCACCGCTCTGCTCTACCAGCAGCAAAACAAATATCTTTTAGACAAAAGCAAATCCTTTCAGGATGAGTCCCAGATCCCTCAGCAGCTAGAAGAATAATTACATGGAATATGGAAACGTCTGGAAAAAATGTCTCTTTTATCTTAAAGGAGTCGGGACCATTAATGGTTCATCAGTTCCATAAAGGGGTGTCTCACGTTGAAATGTCTTTTTCCGAAGAGCCAAGACGACATTTGAAATTTAAAGTTGGGGATAACACATAAAATCATTTCCCCACTTATATAATTAGCTCATTTTTAGTTACTGATACTTAACTTTGTTTTTATGATCAATAAGAAGACGGCCATTATTCATGGCCTCTCCCTCCATTAATGTAAATAACGTTTACACTCTGCATCAGTTCTCGACTGTTTTCAAGGAGGAGAAAATTTACTGAACAGAATTTCATTAAATCCACAACTGATCAGATAGAGAATAAAAAATAAGTGTCTTTATTATTTATAATTTCCAAGAATTTTACTGTCATCTTCTAAGGTGCCTATTACCTAATTACTAAGTCTAATTAAATACTGATATTAAAACAACTCCACATAAAGCTTCATCTGACTTTTCCCTTATTTCCTCTTGGTTTTGTGTCAGTTTCGGTCTTGGACTATTTTTATTTTAAAATCACATTTGTACATTTGTTGATTAAACGTTTTAGCTTGAACCTTTTCCACTAAAGCCTGCAGTGCAACAGATATTTAGATGATGGTGCTTCAAGACCATCTGTGCTCTAAATTCAGAGCTAAATAACCACTGGAACATTGGTCTCTACGTTTACACTTCATGGACTTAGCAGCTGAAATTGTATGTAAAACAGCAGCACCTTCATGATGAGGGTGGATCAGGTTAATGAGTGCAGCTCCCTCTTTCCTCCAGTTCGTTGGTTTCTCCTCCATCGTCGCAGCCCTTTCCTGAGTCTCTGACAGAACGGGGTAGCTTCGCTCAAACCACACCTGGTGCAGAAAGATGTACATGCAGCAGGCCCCCGTCACAAAACCCAATGAGAGGGCCCACATGGAGCTCAGACCCTTCATGGTGACGTCTCCAGCGCTGCAACGTCCAACTTACAACATGTCTAGAAGAAGCCAAAACACACTTTTGATATGTAGTCGAGCAAGACAAGTATTTTATATCCATCTATAAAGTACTGTATGCTTCTGATGGCAGGATGACAAACCCTTTGGCACATTACCTGAAACTTTCTCTGTCAGCCACTCGAGCAGAAATGCACCTTACATTTGAAACGTTACAAATGCACACATTTACAGTTGCAACACATCTTAACTGGTAAAGTTGCAATCGCAGGTTATTGTCACACTCCTTTTTAATTCTGCGTATTTAGTTTTAAGATTGATGCTTTGATCCAGGAGGGCTGCTCAGCCTACAACATATTAAATTGTCTCAGGTTTTTTTTGTTTTTTTTGTACTCATTTTGTTTATTTCAGTAAGTGGCTGTTTTTAAATTAGCTTAAACAAAGCTGATCACATTACATCATCAATCAGTCATTGTTTGCATGAGCACCTCAGACAAGTGTAAGTTGCATTGCATTATAATCACATATCGTTCCAAAACAAATCCAGTAACACCTTTTCAAATGTTTTGAGATATAAAAAAATTAAATAAATCACGGGACCCCAATCCAGGGCTGACAAACCAAAACCACTAACAGCAAACTGAAGCGGACAGGGAACAACAAACCTCCTTATGTCACCAGAACCAGCGTGAGCAGACGGTTTAAGACCATTTCAGCATCAGTCCGTGGTGTGAGGGTTCATTACCTCTGCTGTGGGATCAGTCATTGGAGTGCACGATACGTTTGACCCCCCCACCTCCAACGCTTGTAAATATTGCCAGAATCGACTGAGGTAAAGTGAGCCTCCACTCGGCTCCGGCAGCCCTCACTGGATTAAATGTGCACGTTTACAACATGTACTACGGTAACGCTGCGGCGACCAGTATGTTGCTTTTCAAAATAAAAGCTGAAAATAAAAGTTTTAATACTTGTAAAATAAATATTTAAAAGCTGTGTATAACTGAAAAATATGAAAAACTAATGAATACAAGTTGTTATTAGCAGAAAAATAAATAAATAAAAGCTGTTAATTATATGTCTTTCTGCCATGTCAGGAACCACTCTCACTTCAGGTTGACTCTAGAAGACCAATGTTGTTGCCAATGATGACCAATGATGTTGCCCAAAAACTGTGACCAACATCTGATGTTGACTTTCAAAATAAATTACATCCAAAGGTAATGGGGCGGCTGTGGCTGAGTGGTTAGAGCAGTCGTCCTCCAATGCGAGAGTTGGGGGTTCGAATCCACCAGCAATCACATGCTGAAGTGTCCCTGGGCAAGACACTGAACTCCTCATCGCCTCTGATGTGTGTCCCATCGGTGTGTGAATGTGATAAAGCTCTGATTAGTCTCTTTAGAATGATTTGTTCAATTAGCTTTGTACAGATCTAGTAGAGTGCTGTATGAATGGGTAAATGAGGACACAGATTGGAGTGTAAAGCGCTTTGAGTATCTTGAAACAAGATAGAAAGGCGTTATATAAGTACAGTCCATTTACCATTTCCAAAGTTTAACATATTTCATTGTAGAAGTCAAAAGTTGCTGACCTTGTTGCTGAATAATGGAACGATTTCAGGAACCACTCTCATTTCAGGCTGACTCACAAGTTTTTGGGCAACATCTGGGGGTCTTCTAGAGTCAGCCTGGAGTGAGAGTGGTTCCTGAAATCGTTCCGTTATCCAGCAATAACGTCAGCAACTTTTGAATATTACAATGAACTATGTTAAACTTTGGAGGCGATTTATTTTGAAAGTCAACATCAGATGTTGGTCAAAGTTTTGGGGCAACATCTTGGGGGGTCTTCTAGAGTCAACCTGAAGTGAGAGTGGTTCCTGACATGGCAGAAAGACACAGATATAATTAACAACTTTTATTTATTTGTTTTTCATATTTTTCAGCTATACACAGCTTTTAATTATTTAATTTCCAAGTATTAAGCATTTATTTTCAGCTTTTATTTTGAAAAGCAACACACAGTGGTCGCCGCAGCATTACCGTAGTACATGTTGTAAACGTGCACATTAACGCCAGAGGGCTGCCGGAGCCGAGTGGAGGCTCACTTTACCTCAGTAGAAAACTGCTCAAAGCTGCTCCAAGCTCAGGGTGAAAGCTCACATTGGTGCTTTTACCGCTCCAGATTCAAGTTCTACATGTGTGTGTGTATCTCCAAAGAAGATGATTACAAAGAGAAAAGCACCTTGGTGCCCCCTCCACGACCAGCTTTACATTCTTCAGCATGACATGCCCAGCTCTGGATACGTTCCTTCTCATTGGCTGGTTGCTGATGACGTACGAGGAAGACGCTATTAACGTTTGCTTGTTAGCCTTATTTTTTATTTTATATAAATGACCGTAAAATTTGGTTGAACTCAAAAACTTATTTGTTGTTTATGTTTCGTAATGTAACATGTCCTAACATGTTAACTATGTTTCCTAACAGATACATCTGTTGTGATACTTATATCTGCCACTAGAGGTCCCTCTAACGTTCTAAAAACAATGAATTGTGAGTTTGTAGGATCAGCTGCATTTTTATAAACCATACCAGATCACTTTATTTATAAAGCACTTAAAAACAGCAACAAGAACAACCAAGGAGCTGTACGATAAAACAAGCAGGCAAAGGACACAGAATAAAATACATAAATCAAAAGAAGTAAAACAATTCAATTCAATACAATTCAGTTTATTTATATAGCGCCAAGTCACACCAGAAGTCATCTCAGGGCACTGAACAGAAACATTCATATATAAAATAAGTTAACAGAAATATTTATATTTAAAAATAATAATTTAACATTATTTATCTGACATAAGAAACAATTGAAATGACTAGAACAATAAAAACACAGTGAAGTTAAAACCAACTCACACTGGGTTGAAGTCCAGGGAATAAAAGTATGTTTTAAAACTACACTTAAAAAAAGTGGTAACTCATGGCGCAGGTTTGGACCTGCAACCTGTCACCTCGGCGCTTGTGTGCATGGAACTAATAAAGCCTCTGATCTGCTGACCTCAGAGAGCACTGTGGGACATATGGCTTTTCAGAGAGAGACGCTTTAATACATTATATACATTTTATAAACAACAACAAAAAAAAAAAACCATTCACACCAGGATCCATCCATCCATTATCTTTACCTGCTTTATCATTTCAGGGTTGCGTGGGTCACTGTTACCCATATGTCCAGCAGTCAGTGCAGGAGGCGAGGTACTCCCTGGACAATGCAAGTCCATCACAGGAACACACAAGAGACAAACACGACAAACAACCAGTCAGACTGTCACTCAAGTTAGCTTCCAAGTTAACATGCATGTTTGTTTGTTTTTTGTTTGTACTAAACTGGAGCACCCGGAGAAAACCAACGCAAGCATGGGAACATGCAAACTCCAGCCGGTTGGGATTGGATCCGATGACCTTCTCGCTGAGAGGCGGTATCTCTAACAACTGCACCACTGTGCCGCCACTCCACAAACAACAATAATTTATTTATTTATTCAGACACTTTTTTGTTTCTCTATAGTTGTGTTGATCAGCTGGAAATGTAAGCTTATCTTTCTTTTGGAAATATCTTTGAACTGCAGTAACCTTTATGGAAATAAGGTCAATGCCACGGTTCTTTATTGTCATTTGAATCACATGTGGTACATGAGGTGGAACGAAATTGTGTACACAGGGTCCCAGTTGCATCCAACAATAGCAATATAGTGTAAAAATAAACTAAGATATATGCTCCAAAGTCCATGCTCAACAATCCAGGTATAAAATCCAACATTTTTCAGTTAGGTCATCAGGACAGTTTCTTTTTTTTTGTGCTGAAACGTTTCATCTTCCATCCAGAAGGCTTCATCAGTCAAGGAAACACAACAAAACTGATTCTTCCTCCAACAGCTTTCTCCAAAGTGGAACAAACCAGTTCTGCTTGTGGTTAGATGGTCTCTTTGTTACGCCCCTCCTAAGATATACGCTAAACAAATGTCAAAAGGTACGCTAAATATCTAGGATGTACGCTAGTATAAATGTGCTGTTATTGACTGGGTCATGTTAAAATATATTTATAAACCTAATCATGGGGGAAAATTAAAAAAAAATTAATCCAATGACTGTGTCCTCCAAACAAACAATAAAAAATGCCAACTTAGTGTAAGTTACTGATGGAAAAAGTCTTTGACCAAGTCAAAGTTCAAAAGGTCTCTTCACTGGTTTGCCTATTTTGACAAAGTAATTCAATTCATAGAATAAAAAGAAGGAAAGATTGGTAATAGAATCGCTGATCTTCCACACCAAGAGGAGCCAGCTGAGGTGGTTCGAGCATCTGATAAGGATGCGTCTTGGATCCCTATAGCCTCCCTAAGGAGGTGCTCCGGGCATGCTCGACTGGAAGGAGACCAGTGGAAGATGTCTGGCTGGGAACACCTTGGACTCCTCCCAGAAGAGCTGGAAGAGGTAGCTGGAGAAAGAGATGTCTGTGCCGCCCTGCTCAGGCTGCTACCCTCTCCACCCAACTCTAGGTATATTCAGATAGCTCAATAATCCAGGTAGAAAAATCTAAAAAAGTTAAATCTGGTGCTCTGGACATTCAAAAAAACAAAACAAAGCAAAACAACAAAAAAATGTAGAAACGTTTCGTCTTTCATCCGAGAGACTTCTTCAGTCTGAGGTGCTGTATTCAGCTCAGTCTCTTAAATAGCACCTTCTCAGAGTGGATCAACCAGTTTTGCTGCTGAGATGATGGATGGATGGATGGATGGATGGATGGATGGATGGATGGATGGAT